GCCAACGAGGTTTTACGAATTAGATCTGGACCGTCGCCCGAGTACCTCGAGGATGGCGGTTACGGATCTTATTCCTATCTCCACGGGGAACATCAAACCAACCACAGCTGATTTTTAAGGAACCCGAAACATTTGTTTTGCAGCTTCAGTTTCTAAGACGATTAACCATGCATTTTTGTGTGTCGGTTTTAATTGCTGTCTTTCGGCTTCCCCTAGGGATGAACAACAGCAGAAAGACGAGAAAGTTGAAAGTAGAATCGAACAGAAAAGAAAGAATTTCAGTGGATTAAGGTTGCAAAGAAATTGAGAAGATTCAAAAACGCCACTGTTTACGACACTCAGTATCTCTAACCATCGGTTAAGATCATCCCGAGGTCCCCAACGAGGGAGCCTAACAGGACTTGGATGATCTGATCTTACTTACTTTTGATCGACTAACTCCTTCGGCAGGATAAGTCGGCTTCTTGGATGTCTCTAATGATGGCGACCATGAATGACGATCGGCAGCAAGGTTGACGCAGTGTAAGATCCAGTTATGGTTTCAATTACGAATTCCATATACGGATTGGAGGCCTAGTAATTCCAAGTCCGCCATGATCGTACTGCTCCAGGTCTTCAGTTGACCACCGAGTCGGCAACGCCATCCACAGCACGGTGTGGGGGTTACACCCTGTCGTGAGAGCTAAGTGTCGGGCCTTCGGAGCACATAGCCAAACCACTTAAGGAGCCGGCGTTGTAGCATTTTCGAACTCTCGTCAATGTTCGAGTAAAGCCGTCGAAACTCATCACTGAAAATCCGATCTCTTCAATTTACTTTCGAGATGCGGCGCAAGAACCAATAATCAAAGACTTCAAGCCTCTTTGTACCTTGTACTCTTATCGGCCAGGTTTCACAACCATAAGTGAGGATGGGACGGATGAAAACCTGATAAACCAGAAGCTTAGTGTTTAAGCTTATTTCGCATCGATTCCACAACGATTTGAGGAGTTGTAGGAAAGCTCTTCCATCTCCATCTACACGGAGTTCGATTACATCCTTAGCCTGGCCGTTTGGTCTTATCGTAGAGCTAAGATACCTGAAAACTTTGGATGATTTGACAAGCTCACCGCTAATCGAGGGGGGTTGCGTCGTGGCATAAGTTTCGGTCGAAAAATGTCTTGGTCTTTGACGAGTGGATCACTAGCCCAATGACATGGGCAAACTGGTTTATACGATTG